GGAGTATTGATTTTGCTATTGTTTTGCTCACGAAGAGTATTCAACAAGAACCCCAAGAATTCGGAACAATCCTCTTGTTGTCCTAACGAGTATTTAGTGGACTTCAGAGACTCCAGGAAATCGGTAGAAGATGAAAATAAATATTGATTTGTCGTGGGAAGAAACTTTTCAATCCATAATTTTTCCACAACTTCGGGGTAACTGATTATTATCGAATGTTTTATCATCCAATGTAACTTTTTCAACATAGTACCTCTCTGTTCAAAAAATAAAATGAATTTTTATTTTTCTCAAAAAACATTTATTATGAAAAGAGAAATGAAAATTTCTATGTTTTTTACCACTTCTATTTGTAACTATCGTTACTGCAGTTTCGTCCTATACGAACATTCTCAAACTTATACTTATACTTATACTTATACTCATACTTATACTTATACTCATAATCATACTTATACTTATACTTATACTTATACTTATACTTATACTTATACTTATACTTATACTTATACTTATACTTATACTTATACTTATACTTATACTTTCTTTAACGTTTCCGTCTTCGTTCGTACATAATAATTTCATTGTACTTAAGGGGTTACGGTAGTAGAAAATCTGTCATGGAAGTCGCCAAATTTTTTGGCATCTGTGTAAAAAAGCATGGTGGTCCCCGTGACTGTATTCTCCTACCGTTCCTCTTAAATAGTTTACTACAATGTAATATAACAAAAACCTTAACCACAGCAACGCGTGGCCGGGTCTGCTAGTATATTATAGAGAATTAGAGTGGTCTACAACCCTTCATCTGCACCCTTTCAGATATATTTGGAAGATGATTGACTAGATCGTTCAAAAAAGGTTTCTTCATAACTCAAAATTTTCATAATCGAAAGTAGTTTCGGATGGAAGTTTTCTTATGGTTTGGATCTGAGAAAAATGTATGTTCATGATCTACTACACAGCTTTACTCATGTAATAGAAACTACCTGGGTTCTCATGACAATTTTACCCAAGTCATCAACTGATATATTTATTTATCATGATAAAATATGGTTGGCTGCCCAATATACTCCCATGATATGTGTATCAAATGGAAGAGTTTGCTAAAAAGAATATGAAAAATAAAATTACGTCATATAAAATTCAATATGACGAACTAGATTTTTGATACACCCTCAAGATATTGATAATAAATGAAAGGAATTTAAAAGGGCGTTTAATGTATATCCATGAAAAGTTCATTATTTGGTAATATAAAATGAACATCCATAATATGTTCCCGAACATTTCAATTATGAATACCCTTCTTTGGAAGGGTATCTATCCATTAGAAAGATTAGTGCTTTTCAATTTGTTGAAGCTATCCATAGAAATTTCCGGTTGGATCTAAGACATTGCCTCTTCCGATACGACAATGGCAAATGACAAATGAAGCTAGTCAGTTGATTTTATGTTAGTGATTAGTGAAAATTTGTAATGAGAAAGTTTCAAAAACTGTTAATAAGTGTATGTCGCTTTAAAGGTTTCACCTGAGGGTTCTTATGGAATCATCATATAGATTGAAAGTCAGGTTATATTACTAAAAGTGTATTTCTCAAAAACATTTTTTTCTATCAAATAACTTGATTTTTTGTAATGCAATGTATGGAACCTTTGGTGTAGTAATGAATATTACTGGAGTTTTTTCCANAATCTTCACAGTTACGGCTACGTAGAATAACGTAAGCCGTGCGGAACTTTTACTTTCCACCTTCTCGGCCAATTCACTCCACGCAACGAACGTTATTTCCTACAAACGTTTTGCGCATGAAATCCTAGCAAAACTTTAATTCAAACTATAATAAAAGAACTACGTGATATTAAAATGACAGAAAAGTACATTGCGTCAGAGTCTTGAGCCTGTGCAAACTGTGTAACACGTCAATACTTCGTTTGGTCTTTAATGTCTGTATATGATGGACGATCGCACCTTCCTTGGTCTGGATCTCAGTACTCAGCAGGTGAGTCTATGTAAATAGATCAGTCTATTTTTATACATGTTATCACCTCAATTTCTATATTCCATGTAAAGTAAATACCTACTAATAATTCGATTTGCCTGTCATACCACTAAAGCGCAGGCGCGCTGTTTATACCTTGTGAGTCGTGTTGATAATATTTGGTGGGATTATCACAGTATAATGCTAAACGACCCAGTAGTCGCACTTTTGTAGGAACCTTTGATGTTTATGTCTCACAGTTTTATTTTTTAGGACTACTGCGCATTCATAATTATCTGCCAGGAGTGGATTTGTCAGCTTTTGACATTTCATACACTGCTCAACATAAAAGATATAAACTGCTCGACAGTAAAACTAATTTCATAGAAAATTGAATGGGTGTTTTGTAGTAATGTAGAATATTATGAAACGTTTTGAATTTTTTATTACACGCTTTATATTAGCTTCATCTCTATGTATGTATGTTGTTTGTTTATAACTCTCAAGCCCGGGATCTGTATTTGACAGAATTACCGACATTATTGCTTGATCTATTCGCGGGCAGATGGCGCTGTACGAAAATATCAATGGTAATTTTTCTTAACAATATATGGCTGACTGATCCCAAAGTTTGAATAAAATAAATATACTTTGAATAGACAAAAAAATATGGCGCTTTGTGTCATATTTTTTGTTTATCAAGCGAAACAATCTCACTGATTTTCAGCTTGGTGGGATTTTAGGTAGCTTTTGACCGGACTATTAGGATTCGAATGGAAAGAGTTTGGTAATTTTTCGAAATTGATTTTTGCGCATTTGAGAAATTAATGTTAAACTGGTATTTTCCAACTGAAATGTTGGAGTACTGTAATGGAATAATGCTACTTCGGGCATTGGTGGGAATAGTCATTAGTACGTATTTTATTGAAAAAAAAGAAATTGACGCTATCATTTCTATGCCTGCCTACTGCAAAACTTCAATTATTATTGCACCAAATTATCGGTAGCAATTGCCCTACAGTCTGTTTACATCCGATGATGGTCACCACGTACCAAAACGATTGCATATACAAAAAATGTACTTTATCACCATACGCAGTTTTCATAGAGAAAGATGGAGGAACGTAATTTAAAAAATAATGGAGCCAAAT